TGTGTGTGTGTTGTGTGTATGTATGTATGCATGCATGCATGTATGTATGTATGTATGTATGTATGTGTGTATATATTCACATATTTTATATATGCAACCAAAGAGGCCATCAAGAGGTTTGGACTTGCTTTGTTTTTCATGTCCACAGTTCCCTTGAGGTGGGAGACACTGGTTCACCGTGGTCAAGGCATGTCAAGGCTGTGAGTGCCAGTGCATGGATTACTTAAGCAGCACTGTTTCAACACATGAACTGGCAAGTCTTTCGGCGTCTGTGCTGAGGGTCAAAGTGAGGCCTTGAGCATGGGGAATGTGTTGGTTTCATTGATTTGTACTTAGTGACTTTGTGACTAGCTGACATGAATTTGGAATCAATACAATGGGTTTGTCCAGGAAAATTATTTAGGACTTTAAGCAACTGGATGAGTTTTTGAGCGTGTTCCTGTTGTCACAACGGTCTAACGACTCATGGATTGACCCAAATTCAAACACCTTTACGGAGTTCTGCTCATGCCTTCGCAGGCTCCTATAGTCAGTGCAGTGCCATTTTTAGGATTGAGCTTGTTTTGGTTTCGTTTAGCCAGTGGTAACTGCATCCAAGCAGCCATGGGGATATGGAGAAACTGCCGGGCCAACCTCTATGTAGTAGTTCCTTTTGGCCACATCCACATCGAGGGGCAGGTCCGGCCCAGCCAACAGAGCGGTTGGTTGGGCCCTGGAGTCTTCAGGAGCTACGTTGGTTGGCCACACAGCTGGAGAAGCTGAGTCAGCAGCAGTCAGCCGGCCCTGCCTGGTTAACTGAGCACCATACCTGGCACCAGGCGGGCACGGAAAGTGCTACAGTCCAACTACACTGACTGGTGGTTGGGAAGGAGCAATTTGGAGCATATCCACATTTCCGTTGAAACAAGGAGCCAAGGAGGTAGAGGGGAGTTTCCTTGCGACTTGCTAGCATATGTTTTCTAGAACATCCGCTCGGACGGTTGAGGGGCTGCGGCATTGGATGGTTTGCTGGGAGAAGTTCGTTGCACCCTCCAGCCTCCGGTCCACACCCCACACTCCCAAACACCTTGCTATACTCTTTGCTGGGGGTTTGCATCCAAGAAGCCCTCGGCAGGAGCAGCTGGCGTTGCTGCGCACCCGCATGGAACGCGGTGAGGTGCCAGCGCTGCCGGCAGAGCCTTGGTGACTTGTTGCCTTTAGTGATCGGTGGCGGATCCTTCCCGCAGCAACCTGCTCTCCTTTAGAGATCTTTAGAGATTAAGGTGGTATCAGTCTTTGTCCTGACTTTTGCTGTAGACAAGCAGCTATGCTGGATTTGAATTGGCGCATGGTGATCCAATGGTTTTGGGGTCTCAGTTTCGGTCCACGGACAAAATCACGCTCCACCTGACATAATATGTCGTTCCTCACCCGCTTTGGACTCGACTTGTTCATGTGGACACGGCTGATGACCGTGGCCATCCCCAAATCTTGATGGACCTTTTTGGAATCTGGATCATTTGGAGGAACCCCTTCTCACAGCCGACCCAACACCCTGCGCTGCTCCAAGGAGCTCAAAGAGGGCCTGGAGTTTTACCTCTCTCAGCCGCTTGGCCCGTCGGACTCGTTGGCAAAATGCGCTTCGGCATTCCGAAAGGGCACACATGAGGATGGATCTTGCACCAAGTGAGAGGGCCCCGAATTTTCAGATCCAGCATTGGAATATGGCTATAATATAGTGCTATATACAGCAATCCCTGCAGAAGATTGCAGAAGCAGAAGGATTTGTGCTTTGAGCATTCTTTGGGTGTTCCTTCCTCGTGTGGCGTTTGGTTCCTCAGCTATGCCGAAGGTTCGAAGATGGGCAGAGCGTCTCAGAAGAGGAGTTCTACATTGAATCTTGGATGGAACTGGCCTGGGAGCAGGTTCACGCATGCAAAGTATGGCCCATCCAAGTGAAGGAGGGGATCTCCAACGTGGTTTCAATGGGTTTCATAATGCTTGTCATTTGCTTATCAGTTGCTAGTAGTTTCTCCAGGAGGGAGGGGTCGTTTGTTTAGACACGCACAGGCACACACACACACTTGGTGGTTTGGGTGGTCTTGTGTTCTCTTTTTGTTGGTGTATGCGGGTCCATATTTCAATGTATCATCTCACATATCATCTATGGCGGCTTGACCCTCCTTTCGGAGTTCAGACCCGACAGATGAGCCCTTATTACACTTGTTGACGGGATTTCTGGATGACCACAACTCAGGACCGCCAAGGTCGAACTACCTTCGGATGGGAGCCTTTTCAGGTCATTATATATATATATATATATATGCAGGTAGCTAATTGTAGCCATGTGTAGGCTTCTTTGCTTAGTGATTTGAGGTCACATCTTTGGGGTACCGGGTAGTGGAGCCAATCAGCTTTGCTTCATAACTCGGGACACCCAAAACCATCCCTGCAGGAACTGTGCAATTTGGGATCCAGGCACTCCCGGTATTTGGGTCCAGTGGGGACGTGACACTTTATTCAGGTCCCGATGAAGCTCAATCATCGATCCATTGCCTCTTGTGAAGCTTGGCACATCTTGGCACATCCAAACTGTGCATGTAAAGTTCTCTTCATAAATCCATCACACTTGAGCCCTATACTCCTTATCAGCCGGTATCCCCTCCAGCGATTTCTGACCACCTTCGCCCGGACCCAGCGTGGCCCAGGACCCAGAGCTTTACACTGAGCTTTTAGCCCCCGCGCCGGAAGAAGTTCCAGTGCCCTACGAGCGGCCAAGAGCCACCGAAGAGGAGCTTGAAACGGTGCAGCGGCTGTGACTTGGCCAAACGCAGCATCGTGCGATGCTTCGAGCTTCTTTGGACCAAACATCCCGGAGCGTTGGAAAGAGTCCAATTTCAGCCATCCGGTGGGTGATGGGCTTGGTGTCTCACACCCGACATGTACTGGCTGTAGATCTACCAACGAATGGTTCGTATATAAACGGTTTTGAGATGCACACCATGCTTTTGAGAGCATGGCGGCCTGAGAACTCATGTGTGGACTGATATATGTATAAATATGTAGTTCTTTTTCGATGTTCCAGATAGTGGGAGGCTTCCGTGTCCTTGTGGCGAGGTTCGGCTACTTAATGGCTAATGTTTTGCAACTCGTGTCCTCCCAGGAAGTGCAGTGTGTCATTTTGCTTGGAGAGTACCTGGGACATCCAGGGACAGTTTGTTTGGATATGTCAGCAACTGGTCACGCTTTCCAGCGTATCAATGTGTTGGTTGGGATGTTTGGGGAACAAGCCGCAAATCTTTGAACACATGATGGGCTAGAACTTGATCCATTGTTTTTTGATGAGGCTTATTTGATCATTCTTCAAGCAGCTTAGAATGAGCGTTGCCCCTTGTTTGTCGTGAGCACAAGCCAACTAACCTCGTCCTGCTTTGAACAACTTCACAGCAGCCGACTGACAGGCAGCGACCCAAACCATCAGCTCCATTGAGTTCATCCCAATGTTTGTAGAGAATGCAATACGACACATACAATACCTCGACTGTTTCCATACCGTTTGCATTGCTGGGGTAATTAAGGAAAGATTGGAGCGACACCACGCCGCAGGGTTTGGCAAAGGCGCTTGGAAAGCGCTGGTTCGACTCAGCAGTTTGATAGTAGTGATTGTGGATCCTGCAAGCATCCCAGTGTCTCAACAGCAGCATGTGTGGTTCTGGTGCTTCATAGCGGCAAGCGTCATGGAGAGAGGCCAAGCAAGAAATGTTCAGTTCACTCTGAAATGGGAGGTGTTGATTGTTCTGAAGAGGGAGGCAAGAGAACAAATGTGTTGCTTGTGTGGCCCTGTGTGTTATTGCAAAGCTGCAGTCTTGGTGCTCCAGGCATATATATATATACGTATCTATGCATACTTATATATTTATAGGATTGCATACGTAGCTGCAATATTCCATGGCGGACCCTGCTTAGTTTCGCCACAGATTTCCACAGTTTGCCAGCCTTCTTCGGCCGTGTTGCTCAGTTTCCAGGTGAAGAAGCTGCTGGAGGCGAATGCCACGTCAGCCGAGGTTCAGGAGCTATGCCCATAGAGATTTGATGGTCAAACAGGTCGATGGTCAACAGCTTGATGGAGGTAAGAAAGCTGGTGGAAGAAAAGTTAGTTATCATCCACTTCAGCCCCTTTTGTACCTGGCAGGAAAAATGGATCGTAAGTCGTAAGCATATGGACACAATCCCTGCAAGAAGCCGTGCGAAGAGAAGCCGTACGAACGATTTGGAGCATTGATTCATGCCCAAAGATGCTGGTCACGGAGAAACACACCAGTATAAGAAAGATAATTAATCACCCTTCAAGTAGGATCAGCTTCCCACACTCCCCTACCCTTACCATCTTAGAGGACTAGATTCAGGCACAACACATGCAGAGAACCCCGGGTGGAGGTTTCACCTCACTGTGCTCGATGAAAACCTCAAACAGTTGTTGCTCGTTGTGCTTGTGGAGCTTCACCACCGGCTCTCTCGTTCTGCAGGAGGCCGGCATCACTCGCTTGGGCGGCTTGCTGGCCGAGGCCAAAGGCACTGGTAGCGCTCTCCCCAGCAGCTGTGGCTTGACACCCAGTGCCATGTGCCCAGTGGTCATGGAGGCGGTGTGCTTGGGTGCGGGACTGGGACTCCTTGGTGTTCGCTTCGGTTGACACAGGAATCCTGCTGACCGGTCGGCTGACCCGTCAACCGAAGAGTGCTCAACCGGTTTTATGAGGGCGACTGGTCACCGGTCACCATCGATCTAGCGTTGGACCGAATGCACCTGTGCGTTTTGGTGCACCCGGTGAAAAGGGATCCAAGGATCTCGTCGTTCTGACCACCTGCAGTTTGCGTTCGCCCCGCCAGCCCAGCGGTCACCATGTCGACAGGCCATGAGCCGCTTTCTACGCGATGCAAAGGTCCAGCGTGTGGGATGCAGCGTTTTGCGAGGCGTCTTCGGGTAAATACGGGGTGAGTGAATTTTGAGAGAGGTATGAGGTATGCTACGATTTTGTGTCATCCTTTGGTGGCACATGGGTTGGAGAGCTCAACCGGCGTCCTGTGGGAATCTGAAGCTCGAGGGGCCCAGTTTCAGGTGGCCGACTAAGACGCATTGAGGGTTATAAGTTATAGAGCGTTAAAAAGGCAGAGAATGCAGATCCTTTCCTATAGGGTTCGGAATTCAAGATTGCAGAATGCTACTCTTCGGCCAGCGCACCCAACTTCATCAAGCTATCCTTGGAAGAGGCATGCAGAACATGATTTACCAGGAAATTGCTTGAAGATATGTTTCAGGAGAGAACTAAGTCTTTTAATAATAAACCAACACAGCGATCAAATCTAATCATCCTGAAAAGGTTCCAGAACCCACCTGTGCGCTTTTCTTGGCATAGCATGTCCTGATAGGAAAAGCACCATTCGGACAGTCATGCAAGGTCATTGTGTTTTCTATTGGTCTTTTAGAGATGGCTGGTGGATCAACGATGATGCACGTGTGTTGTGTATGTGGTGGGTCAGGGTCCAGGATTCTGCAACTCCAGTGGGAACTTCCCCACCAGCCATGCTCATCACACCCACCTCACGGTGCCATGGCTGATGGGAAGCCATTAGATCGCCTGGCGAAGAGCAGCTGCGAGGTGCCAGCGCCCCCAGAGGCGAAGAAAAAGAAGAAATCCAAAGGCCCGGAGGTCAAACATGGCAAATTTGGAGATGTTCAACTTGTCTCAGTTCCATGGAGTTTGTAACTTCCAGGGTGTCTCATGCTTCTGCGAATGTTATTTGAGGCAAGAAGGGCTTCAATGAGGAGGAGGATCTGGAACGACAGAAGCATGATTTGGGGCCGCTTGGATTGGGCAACGAGATTGCTGGCAAACGTGGCAGATGCATGTCACGAAAGGTAGCCCTTTAGGGGATACCTTGAGTTTGTCTTGCGAAGCAAGTGTTGGGACGTCCGGGTCTAATGATTGATCATTCAATTCAACCCCCCCCCTCGAATTGGTTTCTCAATACAGACCCCCCCCGCCCCGTTGGAATTGATTTTTCAGTACAGCTCCCCCCCCCTCTAAAGTCAATTCTCTCCTGGAGAACGTCTTCGTGAGCCTCTCATGATTTCAGGATAGTTGAAACCCTCTTGAACATTCAGAAAGAGTGCATATGAAATTCTAATCACGAAAGGTGTTCCCCCAGGGGATACATACCTAGAGTTTGTTTTGTGAAGCACGTCAATTCTCTCCTGGGGAGCGTCTTCGTGAGCCTCTTATGGCTTCAGGATAGTTCAAATCCTATGATGCTCCGATTCAATGCTCACCGATGATCTGAGCCATGGGGCAAGTTTGTTTTCCTAAGAATCTTTTTGAACATTTATATAGAGTGCATATGAACATATATTTACGAAAGGTCGCCTCCGAGGGGATAAATCACCATGTCGAACATTGCATTTTTGTTCCTGCCTCTCGTGTTCTCTTCTCTTCCCGCTGTCCTACCTTTCGTGTCTCCCTCTCAAGTCATTCTAATATGTGGTCGAACTTGCAGGTTCTACTGCAGGCTTTGAGGTTCTGGTGGGCTGAAAGACCCAGTGTCAGTTGATGGACCTGAGATTGAACAGTAGCGAACAGTTGACGTTTCCTTTACCAGTGGGCCGAACCAGGCTTTTGTTCAACAACCCGGCCGATCGCGCCAAAGTGCGGAAGAAACGGGCCTCGGAGATCACTCAAGACTTGCAGCTGGAGCCAGAGCCTCGGACGGAAGGCGCAATGGATGCGGCGCGGTTGGGAGGGGGCCTACCCACAGCGTGAACGAGTTCTCCATCGGTCCGATATGAAGCCTGAGCAGACATGGGGCCACACCGTCATGCTTTAGTTGGATTGATCATGTGCCATTGGAAGCCGCTGCAGCATATGCAGCTGATCGTTTTTCAGGCCAATGGATTGGCTTTTCTTACTTGTTTTGTGAAAGTAAGTTGTAGTTACTCATCCCAGAGATGGAAGGCTGTTTCACAAAAGTTTTTCTTGGGAAGCGGGCCTGCAAGTTCAACCTTCAACAACTCAAGCGGGCACGCTGAAGTTGTCAGAGCCGAATTCAGGATTGAATTGAGGGCTTTAAGAGCGGAAGTCGTTTTTCCCCACTTGTCAGGTGAGGGTTGTTAGACTTTACGTCAGCCCCATCTCCGCCTCCTCGTCCTCCTCCGCCGGACCTCAACCACGACCATCCACGCCCAGTGTTCCCTGCCGGACCTCAACACACAATTACAAACAGTGAACAGCAAACACACAACCAGACAATCACAAACACATAACGACAAACAACACAATCACCAACCCACAACCACAAACACAATCACAAACACACAACTACAAACACGACTACAAAGAGACAATCACAAACACATAGCGACAAACACAACTACAAAGAGACAAACACATAACGACAAACACAACCACAAACACAACCACAAACACACAACCACAAACACACAACCAGAGACAACAACGTAAACACAACAACCACAAACACACACAACAACAAACACAACCACAACCACAACCACAGACACACAACCACAGACACACAACCACAAACACACAAACGCAACAACAAACACACAACCACAAAAGCAACAAACACACAACCACAACCACAACCACAAATACAAACACACAATCACAACTTCTACCAGTACCACAAACACAATCACAAACACACAGCCACAAACACATAACGACAAACACAACCACAGACACACAACCACAAACACACACCCACAAACACAACCACAAACACAATGACAAACACAACCACAACCACAACACAGCACACAACCACAACCACAACACACAACCACAGCACACAACCCGAGGACCCACAAGCAAAATCGAGAACTACAATACTCACGACCATGGCAACATGCTCCTCACTATAGCATCAAGACAAATGATTGAAATGTCATGGTGGGGATCACTCGAAGTAAAGTAATTTCATGTTCCATATTTTCCTCTGACAGGAGCGGTTATTGGTATCATGCCTTGTGTTCACAGCCGTCATCATCTTAGGGCAGTGTCCAGGACAAACATATCTCGGTTGATGGGTCCTGATTTTGCTTTTTTTGACATACCAAAAGTCAGAATACATAGAAAAGAAGGTACAGGCCTGAAGTTTTGACGTGCAACCCAATTCCACAACAAGGGATCTTACAGGGTTCCGCGCGCTGTCGCAAAACGACAACTGTTCCGAAATCACAGTTGGCAGATGAATATGGCATAGTTTTCCAGTGGTCATTTTGACAGGTCCATCTCAATCAGAGAATCGTTTTTCAGACCCCGTTTGGCGGTTGCTGTATTGGTTGGATGGGTATTGTGGCAACTGTTGGTGCATATATACGACGGTACCCATCCACAGATAGGCAAGAAACCTGCCAGTCACCACCTATGCAAAGGTTATGTGTTTGTTTTTCGAAAGCTCCTTGTGGTATCCCTTTTACAAGGGTTTTTCATCTGACAGCCTACTGAATTGATAGTGAATATCTGCCAAGTAAATTCTAAACGGTAAACAATAAACTAGGCAAACACAGGAAAATGTCAAACAATAATAGTCAACAACTAGTTACTAACTATATATATATATAGATACTAACTAGTTACTATGCCTCTTTTGTTATATACCCCCCTTTGTGTTGTGACCGGTCTTTGGTACCGGTCTTCTTCGCCTGAGGAAGTCCAGGAGATCTTGGAGACCTTGAGGCGAGGTTCGGCTCGCCGAAGAGGTTCCCATGTGTTTCTAGGTACGCTTCAGTGGGTGCCAACGGTCTGAATGGTCATTGGTTTCTCTTTCAAGCTGTGCTACTATAAATTATATAATGATTTCGCAATACAGTAATTCTACCTCGTCTGGATGATCTAGTCCATGCCAAACAGAGAAGAAGAAGTTTATACTAGGTCACGCATGCTGGATCACTGTTGAATCCCTGCACCCTCACACCGACACTCCGGTTCACCAACTCGCAGGTCTGATCCCGCCTGGCGCGAGGAGGGTGAGGCAGAGGGACAAGCTGGACACCTGCAACTGCAGGAGGCGGTGAAGTTACTTGGCTCACAAAGTCCGGCGTGACCAAGGAAATGTGTTTGTTTGGGGGAGGAGGTGATTTTCTCCATAGCCTAGGCAAGTGCATAGCCTGGACATGGGGAGAAAAAACACAACTTCACCCCATGTTCTTTCAGGAGTGGGATTTGTCCAATTCATGGAGAAGATGAAACATGATTCGTTAGTTAGTGGAATTTTGGTGGGGCAAGGTGATCTTCCATGACACGACGTCAAAACAGTTCGAGGTCAATGGCTCAATGTCTCTCAGTGAACCGATATAATAATAAACCTTGAAGATGTGGGGTGGGGTGGTAGGCACTCCCCAGAACTAGCGTGAAACGGGATGATGGCAGGGTCTCGGTACGTTTGAGAGCTTCAGAGACTTCAGCTGAGTAGCCATGATTTGTTTCACACATTTGAACATACAAGGAATGACAAAGTCGTCGTTTTTTTGCACATGTTGAATTTACCTTGGGAAGAGCATTCCAGGAAAGTCGTCGCACGTTTGTAGTTCGCAAGGGAACTTTTGCACAAGGTGTGCCAAGCAAAGCGAATTGTGGAACAGAACGGTGGCTGGCGGTGATGCCAGGGTCGCTTTGTGATAGGTTTGTGTGTGTTTCCTCATTGGAATGCCACAGCTGAGGAAACATGTTTTCTGTTGACTGAGGCTGAGGTGTTGGACAATCAATCAGTCCAAAATTATATATCCAAAACTCTAATTTACATGAACAGGCCTCTCCACCCTTTGCCCCTTACAGCCATCCCTAGAATGATCCCCACGTAAAAACAGCACATGACGGGCATATTTGACATACACAAGTCAATCACAAGTCATACTTATGAGTCCGTATGAGGCTGAGTGTTGCGCCCGTTTCACTTTCATTTGCCCCCATTTGTTCCCAGTCTCCCGCAGCCTTTGAGGCTGCTCTCCGCTCAGCTCTCTGAGCGTGCGCGGCAAGTGACGGCAGCGGAGGAGGCCTCAGGCGGGCTGCGGAAGAAGTTGGAACTGAAGCTCAGCTGGAAGATATCATTAGACTGACTGGTGCGATGAGGGAGTGGATCCAAACGAAGCTCTATTCGAGGCTCCTTCAACTCATTCCCTGCAAAGCTCAAGCCTACAGATTTTGCATTTTCTCAATTTTGGAGACTACTCCAATATTAAAGTGGACGGCTGGGCAAAGCGATTTCCAACTGCCACAGTTTCAAAGATGGTGGAGTAGATGCTCGTGTGGTGCTACGTTCTTGCTTCTGGGTTTGGACATGCCCTCAAGTCTGGAAGCACTCTCAATATGTGCAAAAGAAGACCTTGAGTCCGAGGCAGAAGTGCCAAATTCAGACATGTATGTTATACGTAGTGTCATATGTCTAAAACTTTTGTGTGGTTTAAATAGTATAGTCATTGCTTCTCAAGAGCACTGGTTAGGGCTCTAAGGTTTTCCAATGCAATTTTCTATCAGTGACATAGCTTCTCTGGGCGGTGAGGATGAGTTCGGAGCGACAGCAGCTGGAACGAGAGAAGGCAGAGGCAGTGCAGAAGATGGAGGCGCTCTGTCGGCGGAGTGGGGGGAGGCCCAAGTTGCGCTCAAAGGGGATCAGTTGTGCCTCAATGGCATCAACTTAGCATCCACAGATGAGTCCGCAGCTGAGCCACCGGCGAAGGGGAATGCTGTTAGTTTAGGGTCTAAGTTGGCAACATGAAACATGAGAAAATATCCGTCCAAACAAGGACTAAGTCGGGGAGCTTCTTCACAGCTTCTACTCAGCCGTGGGAGGAGCTGGCCAGCTGGCTCATTCTTCGGTCAGGTAATGCTTGCACTGCTTGACACATGCGCCAGGCCTACTAGTGGTAGTAGTAGTAGTTGTTGTAGTAGTAGTAGTTGTAGTAGTAGTTGTTGTAGTAGTAGCAGTAGCAGCAGCAGTAGCAGTAGTAGTGGTAGTAGTAGTGGTAGTAGTAGTGGTAGTAGTGGTAGTAGTAGTGGTGGTAGTGGTGGTGATGGTGGTGGTGGTGATTAGTAGTCGAACCTGACCTGGGGGCTGACAACCATGCAAGGGTTGAATCCCAAAGCTGACCACATTTGACAATTATTGACCACATTTGGGGACGGGGTCCGAACCGCCGATGTTCCAGTGATTTCCGATGCTTCCAAGTTCTGGTGCTTTGGTTTCAGATCCCGCTGGTATAGTAGAGCAGAGGCAAAACGAGGCAAAGTGGACCCATCCAAGCAGTCTCACCGGAGGATAACTGCATAGGCTGCATAGACCCGTTTGACCTCTAATTAAATTTACAAAGGGTTTACTCCCTGTCAGGATTCCTCTTATATACATCCTGCTTGGAGTCAATCGACCGAGCTTTTCGAGCCGGGCTCTCTTCCTCGTGTGGGCAAGACCGCAGGAAATGGAGCTTGAGATGTTGAAGAAGAAACAGGAAGATGGGAACCTTGGGCTTGGACAGGATGGCCAATCTGGTTCCACTTTGCAAGGAGAGTGTCGCATGGGCAATGCATTGTTCTCCGGTGCCATAAAACCGGAGGTGGAATTCTGGGGCACCTTGCACTGCAGCCAAGCGAATGACTTCAGGTCTAAACCGCGATTGGGATCCATGGGACCATTGTGTGGGGAGGTGGCATTTGCGTCGGTTGAATGTTTGGCATATACATTCAGTGAAAACAAACAAACAAACAAATGGTGCCATCAACTTCCATGATCATTCCAGGGAGGTGTAACATGCTGCGCCAAGGAAAGATAAGCATAGTGCTTCCGGTGCTCCTGACCTCGAGAAGCTATTGAAGGATGCTTTGGTGCACGGCGCTAAGCTGAGCCGAGCCAAGAAAGTGCCCTGGATGCAATCATTTTGGTTGTTGATCATTTAGTCGACCTTTCTTACTCTATATAGTGACTAGTGTGGGCAAGCCGCGTGCATGTCAACATAGAACATGACCCTCCCTTTTTCCTTTGTGTGCGCCGCCAGTCTTCTTGAATGATTCCGGATCATCAGGTGGAGAACGATCAGCAGATCCCATCAGTCCATCCTGGGATCTTGAAAATAAAGGTGAGATGAAATAAATGATTTAGGCACTTTCATCATCCAGGGGTGTTTCCAGTCGGCATCCTGCAGCACCTGGGCGACACCGGCATAGTGTTGGATCATGTTGGATCCTCTCTCTTTGAGCACTAGACTTGTGGTTTCAATGGATGCAGGATTTGTTTATATAGTTTGGTATTGGATGGATGGACCGATCGAGATACAGTTGGGCAAAGCCTCGACAAAAGAATGGATGGATCGAGGATGCTGTTGTTGTTTGCATTTGTTTACCATGTATACATTATATACAAACTTAATATGTCAAAATATGTTTGATGTGATATATGTATATAGAACGCATCCATCACACTACTATACAAATATATATATATATATTTAATATTAGCTATATACACAACAAACTTAATATGCTATATGTGATGCATATATATATATACACATATCAAACCACTATATAAATGGAATTGCAAGGATTGATCCTCAAACCCCTTTGTTCAGGACTTGGAGGAGCAACGCCTGGAGCTCCGCGCGGAAGTGCAGCATCTGCAGCGCCGGGTGGCCACGCTGTCCGAGGATCAGGCACAACACCTGCAGCAGAAAGCGCGGCAGAAGGAGCGCTTGGAGAAGCTTCTTGGTGAAGAAGTCATGATAACCTTGGGTTCCTCAAGGTCAGACACTGCAACTGCTATCGGCTATCATTAACTGACATGTTTCTGTGGTTTTACTTTGGCTGTCGGTCTATGCGTTTGACTGTTGATCAAGAGGCCTCCACCCTCGAGATGTTTGACAACCTCTATATGGAGGTTTATTCACCATATATGTATATGAGAGAGGTGCAAAAAGGTCTGTGTAGGAAAATGTTCATTTGGGGAACTTTTGTTGGACATGTACAGAAGAGTATGGAAACCGATATAGCGAACTACCAAAACCGATACCTTGTGCGGCACAAAACCTTGTGCGGCCGAAACTGTGGAAGTCAGTCCCTGGCCGTACCTTCCGTGAAACAATATTTTGGCCTCCCGGGGTTGGTAATTTGGGTATTTTACTTTTCCTTTTGCGGACCGATGAGGACCGATACCCCAGAAAACAATGAAAGTTGTCAACATGAATGAACAGAGCTCCATCCCATCATTTTGTCTTTTTGTTTTTCTTTACAGTCGACGCAAACGACGCAAACGTAAAGAGAGGTGCCGACGCAAACGCGCAGCACCTGCAGACAGTGGATCTGAGACAGATCTGTAAGAAAAAGAGTTTGTCACAAGCATGCCGCCGCTTGCATTTTATTCTCCTGTCAGGTTCCTATTCCATAACATGTGCCCCAAACATTGTAAACCGATATAGCAAACTACCAAAACCGATACCTACTGCCGGAATCACCACAAAGTACACAAGAGTTTTGCCGCTCGCTATTTGCCATTGTGACATTGACTGCAGATTCATTCATCCCTGGTACGAACATCCGCCCCAGATTTCTTGGAATGACAACCGAACAAGAAGGAGGCCTGATTTGTGAGTCCTCCAAGGGTTGACATAGAACTGACAGTAACAGAGATCGGATACTGCAGACACATACAAACAACTCGTTTTGGTCGATAGTCCTACCTCGTTTGACTTGTTTGGCCCCTGAAATCAGGCTGAAGGCCAAGATTGAGCAGAAACAGGAGGAGGTGGATGAGTTGGAAACGGCTGTGGAGGCTTCGGATGGCGTCTCGCAGTGCCTGGCGTGACCGCTTTAGGTCCCGACGGGTCAGCATGATGCACTCGAAACGGTGCACCTCTCAGTTCAAGGTGAAAGGTACTGCCATGATCAACCATCCAGGACGGCATGAATGTGACTTTCGACTGGCTCATCGGGGAATTGTGATTGAAGTTACCGTGCCTGGCAGACTTGTAGATGGCAAATTTGCTAGACGTGGTTTCGATTGGGTGTCAGCTATAGCTCCAAAAACCGTCGTGTACGGTATATATATATATACCCAAAATGAGCATGAGCCGGTTCCCTTCGATGGACTCGGTTGATTTTTTTGATTGGTTGATGGCGTGGAAAAACATGGCCATCCTGGAGTGGATAGAATATGGGGAAATCCCAAAACAGACAGACAAAGTGGTCATGTTGTTTTATTGGTCCATGTTCTTCCAGGGTGCTTGCTTGTGTATATGCCAATGCCCCTAAGCGGTAACAACTGTGTCGACTCCCATCGAATTCTTGTGGATGCATGTTTGACCAGCAGCTCAAAAGGTGGCAAACGTTAAGTAGAAAGTGAATTTATTCTGAGCTTACACGGGCAGCAAAAGCAAAAAAACGCAGCCGCCCTTGTTTTCTTGAGCCAAAGTTCGAGGTTGGTTATGCTCAGTGCTCATGACTGAAATGTCAACTGCATGAAAAAGGTAGAGTGGTGCTTAGGATTTCTCACTCCCCCTGATGTCTTTGACATCATTCGGTTCGCTCACAACTTCAAAGCTTCCGCTGGAGTGCGAGCTTTCTGAATCATATGGCTTCTCACGTCGCTCAGCCGTTTGGGTTTCAATGCCAAGCCACAGCGGCATCTGGCTCAGATCTTCAGGAACTAAGCCCTCATCCGCCAAGGAGCGAGCCCAAGCACCAGCATTGGTGTTTGCTTCACCTCTGGATTCATAGCCCTGCAACCTCGCTTGATAGCCGGGGCTCTCACCACTCGTCAGCCCAGGCGCACTCTGCGAGGCTTCCACAGCAGCAGGCCGGCAGCGCTGGTCATCCTGCTGCGCAGCCCTTCCCCTTTCCAAGGCTCGAGACCTCAGGGGATGATCTTCACCATACCCACGCAGCCCCGGAGTCGTGGAGCGAGGTGGAGGCAAAGGATTTAAAGAACTTGCACCCACCAGACCCTCTTCAGCCCTGGGAGCAAAGCGCACATAGAAAAAAACAATAGCCCCTCCATTCGTAGATGCCCGGCAGGTCCGCATTGCGGGAGTTGATCCAATCATCCATGAGCTCCTGCCGTTGCCATGCCTGCCGAGTACTTTGTCGATGAAAGGCCACCATCACCCTTGTTTGCGACATCCTCTCTATCCGGAATGGTGTTCCCCGGTGAAGGGGATGAAAGGCTCGAACCCTACTCTTCCGCAGCACCCGAACCCACCAATCGCCAGCACCATCTCCACTGCCAAGGCATTCCCACCTGTCTTCACCAGTAGGTGGGGAAGCGAAGCGGCTCAGGGTCCAAGGACTGTCCGTGTTCAATCCTTGGTGCTGCGCCGAAGAGCGCAGCGCACACAACCGCTGCTTCCATGGCTGCACATCCGGCGCGCCCGTGAGGGTGCCAAGTTGGCAAGAATCGAACGATCGATATGCGGTCGACTTCGAGGGTGGGGCAGGTTCATCTTCCCTTGCCAAACCAGCAGGTATTTCGCTCTGGTTCCCAGTCCCACATCTTCTCCTTCCGGCATAGGCCCCACGATGTCATAGGAGAGGCAATGAGCAGCTCGATCCCCACACGTTCTTCGATGAGGTGCATCCATTCCCATCATTTCCATACATCGCCTGCAGTCTCTTCTGTACGGCTGATGCTGATTCTGCACGTGCTTCTTCCACGCTTCCATATCCAACCGCTGCAGGGCATGTTGTCCATCACCAGTCGCTGCTTCCAGAGTCCCCAACCTTTGCAAGTACCTCTTCAGGCTGAGTTGGATAGCCGCGACAAGGCCCGGTGCCCATGTTGACCATTCACGGGATTGGCTCAGACGCTCTTGCAAGGAGTTGGCCGATTTCTGTCCAGTTCCATCTCCTGCGATGCCATTTAGTTCATCCATGTCCGGCAAGTTGGCGACCATGAGACTTGTAGGCTTTCTTTTGACATGCCCAACAGGTCCTTGATCCATGGTGATAAGCTTGGCGTTCATGGTCATCATCACATCCTGGATCTCCTTCAAGTTCCAAAAACTTGGCATGTCCTCCTCAAGGGCTTGACCTTCCATATAGGTTGCCGGATCTCGAGGAGACTCCATCAAGTATGCAGGAGGCAGTTCACGGCCCTTCGAAATCGTCCTCAGGCGCACCCTGGCCTCCTCCGCCATCATCCATAGTCCTGCTTGTTTCAAGACCAATGCCAGGTCCCCATGCGCCAAGTTCTGCTCAACCATGGATAGAGCTTCCAATCCAAAGCGTCTCTCGTCTCTTCCTCTCAAAGGCCGGGGTCCAGGCTCTCGATGTCGTAGTCGTGACACACTCTTGCACGGAGGTCCACCCACCACAGCCACCACATTTCCATTCCTCGCCAGATGGCATAGGTAACTCCAAGTGCCAACAGCATGCATGTCGAACTGAGTGCCCATAGCGATGTCCACATTGATCACCTCATAGCCCCCCCAGTTCTCCTTGGTCCAAGCCTTGGAGTTCTTTCCTGAATATAAGTGGATGATCACTCCAGGTGCCCGAGCATGCCGGCGTCGCTGATGTCGGTTCCAAGGACACTCCTCTGGACTGTAGTGATCCTGCCCCCTCATATAGCTCCACACCTCCTGTGGAACCTCCGGGAATCTCGACGACCACCATTTCCGGACCTCCTCATCCAGCATCAGCTCCCCCCGATCCTCCTTCTCCATGATATCCAGGAAAGCGAGGGCCTGTTTCTCAGGAAGCACTGGGCATCCACCCCGCAGTCTACAGTCAATCCCTCCACTATGAGGATGGGTGATCTTCACACCGGCCGAAGTCCATTGTAGCTTGTGACCCAGCTTCACCAATCGATGCAAGGGAACGATCACCTCCACGTGATCCTTGGTCAGCAATGTGCTGTGCTCCTTCACTCGAAACAAGGTCGTTGACCCCGATGCCAGTTCCACCGTGACCGGAACCAATCTGGTCAATTCATGAGGACGGGCTCGGCGAAGTCCATTGGTTGCACCACCATCCAAGAGAGCTACAGCCTCACCGCCGTCCAAACATTGTGGCTTCAATTCCTTCAGCCTCAGCATCTTCATGGTCCTCAAGGCCTTCAACAATGATGTCGCTTCCGTCAGCAATTCCGCGGTTGCATCCTTGCCATGCGTCTTCTCCACCACCGGCTCACTCTTTGTGATAGACGGAGATCCACCATCAGCTCGACACTCATCCGTCTTTCCATTCTCCAAGCCGAGCTTCTCCCCCGTCTCTGTCTTCTCGGGGTCTCTCGCGTTCTTCATCTTTGCAACCTTCTTCCCATCTCTTGCATCAGGCTTTGTCATCTTGGCCCCATTCGGACAATCCTTCTTGAAGTGGGCTCCACCACAATTGTAGCAGCGACCCTTCATGTCCGTGGTGTCATGGGCATAGCTGCAATTGGTGCCCCTCTTGCAACCCTCATCTGTCCTCCAAAAGCGGCATGGGTGCCTTGGTACCGTCTTGTCCTCCGAGTCTACTCCCCCGAAGGCGGTCGCCATTCCCTTCACCGCCGTGGATTGCTGACCTCCCGAGGTTCCCGATATAGTTGTCGGTGGTTGCACCTTCATGGGCGTGACCAGTGACACTTCCTCCACCTCAGCCTGCACATACTCCGACAGCTCCATCACAGCCTCCACTGTCGCGGCATAATCAACACGCAATTCTTGCCTCACGTTGGCAATTCTAAATGCCATCTGAGAGCCGTCTGACTTGGTGGCGCTGTCAATCATGCGTTGCACAGTGACCATGAGAACCACAGGGTCAGGGAGAGAGAGATGAAGTTCCTGTGCACGGGTTAGCCATCGGCGCCATAACCTCACTTGTGTCAAGAGGTCCGAGGTTCCTGTGGCAAACTTTGTCTCCACTAAATTTTTGAGGAGTTGTGTTTTTTCAGCCCCTCCTCCCGGCTGGTACGCCACGTGCAACCGGTACAGGATGTGGACCACCGAGAGCTGCCGACCACTGACTAGATCGCGACGGAGCTGATCTGGCAATGCTCCCAACAACATTGCTATGCCCCGTTGTTCAATCCTCTGCAGTGCAGGTTCCACCACCACCACCGGCTTCGCTCGCAGGCGTTCCAAAGGGCTCATTGTCAGCCACCGGGCATAGTGCTCCTGCGCAATCGAAAGGGACTCTTCCCACCATGCCTTGGCACTGTGCGAGATATCAGCCATCAGAGGGAAACTCATTGTGAGCCAGTCTCCAAACAAGATTGAGGCCCCTTCAACATTTGGAGAGGGTAGTGCAGGAAGTTCAAGATTCCTCAATGCCTCCGTCATCGAGGCAGTTGACGCCCCGCCACCAATCCTCACCACCTTCTGTCCTGATCCCTGGTCCATTGTAGAGCTCGACAAGGGGTGACGCCCTTGAGGTAATCCAGGGGGTTGATCAAGTGCAGGTTCTCCCAGGTGTTGACCACTGGAAACCGTCTTGTATGTGGTCGTGTCCGTCTGCTCCCGGGAAGTGCCCAGACGACGCAGCTCCCTTTGAAAGGTCTCCTCGGCCTCCCGAAGGATCTTCGCCCTCAGTGCTTCCACATCTTCCTGACCTGGAGAGATCGGTCCTGAGTCCTGCCCAAGGCCACATGCCCCAGACACATTCGCAGTAGGGTTGCCTGCAGCAAACTTCCCATCACCTTGGGCTTCCGGAAGAGGGCCGTCACCTCCAGCTTGAACCCCCCCCAGTCATGCTCCTTCTAGCCGCCTCCTGAACCCCCGGGCTCCAAAATGGATTGATGTTGGGTGACCGAACCGGCGTTTGCCCCATCCCCTGCCCATAGTCCAAGGCTCTCGGGTTCATCAAACCACCTCCATCTCCAAACAACCCTCCTCGAGCTGCTGGATCAATGCCAGGTCCAAGAGGTGCAAGAAGACCCTGACCTTGAGGTTGTCCCGCTAGTGCTTGTTGAAGTACATGATAAGTTCGTTGAACCGCATCATGAAGTGCCCCCCAAGCCCACAGCCGACCCCGCCGATGCAGGAGGAGTTGCCGCAAGCTCCCCAGGCTTCACCGATTTCAACGACGATGAAACAACACCCACACCAGCCTCCAGCTCTCGGAGACCTTCCTCCAAAGTCCCCATCACAGGTGGCCTAAAGGATGTAGGAGGTCCCCTCGGTGTGCTGCCCACCTCCGTCGACCGTCTCGGTCCCGCGTCCGCGGATCTAGTCCGCCTGACTTCCTCCTCAATCAAGGCGTCGAGCCTGCGGTCAGCCTCACCGATCACCAGTGAGGCATCCGCTCTCCTTTGCCTTCCAGCTGCTCCAGCGCCAGCCGCATCACCAGCTGCTCCAGCGCCAGCCGCCTCGCCAGCTGCTCCAGCGCCAGCTGCAGCACCAGCTGCTCCTTCCGCAGCTCGCCTTCGGCGCATCGTTGTGGATGCCATGGCGTAGCTCAACAGGTTGGGCTCATAACCTGAGCTTACACGGGCAGCAAAAGCAAAAAACGCAGCCGCCCTTGTTTTCTTGAGCCAAAGTTCGAGGTTGGTTATGCTCAGTGCTCATGACTGAAATGTCAACTGCATGAAAAAGGTAGAGTGGTGCTTAGGATTTCTCATATTCCTCTCAACAGTGGTATAGGACAATGTCGTACCCCTCGTTCTGCCACCAGTGGGCTCCGGAGACACCAGGATGCGGAGGAGCGGGCCGATCAATTGGAGACACGCATGGCCGAGTATTTGCACAGACAGTGTTTCAGCTGAAAGCCTGCGGCTTCTGCTGTCCGGGCTTCTCCGGTCGGAGCTCCCGGCGGTGTTCTGGGGCCGTCTGGGGCGCTTGAGAACTGGTATGAACCGGTGGAAGGATGAAGTGGATTGAAAGTAGATGGCATAGACCCCAAGAGGTGGTTTATATGGACCCCCATCTAAAGGACATCTTGGGGTCTGTGCCACCTACTCTGAAACCATTGTAACTTGTTTAACTGTTTCACTTGAAGTGGTCTAGCATCAGCTGGCTGGTCCATCGTGGAGGCATGGATGTGGACAAATCATGGGACATCCGCGGTCTCCAGATACCACGGTATCGCAGCCTTTGGAGCGGAGGGGGAGTCAGGTTTTGTCAGCTGGGGGAATCGGAAATCACCCTGGCCCGAGTGACCAGTGAGATGAGGGAGTTCCAAATTCATCACTGTTTGGGGTGGAAGGTCGAGGGTGGATGGTACTTGAAAATCACAACCAACCTATATATATACTTACTAACTACTCGGTGTTATTGAATGCCTTGTTTTTGCTTTGTCTCTCACATGTTCTCCAAAATGTGGAGAGTGGAACTTCTAGTTGCTGGAATTCCCTTTGAGACCAACTGAAATCGGCAGGTGTCAGGTGTCCTGGAAGGTGGTTGTGCAGGAGGCTCCTTTATTGATCATAAATAATTTTCATCATATAGTGGTTTGTGGAGCTTCTTGAAATTAACGTCCAAGAGGCTGCCAGCCTCCCGCTCTCACACAGATTTTGCACATGATGGCTATAGCAAACACGAAGATGCAGCCCTGGTACCGATTCCACAGGGTTGGATCAAGGGATGTCGTGCGATCACTAAAAAGAAAACCGGCACGGATGCGATGAACTTCACTCTCCATCCTCCGGCCGTCACCAACCTCTCAGGACTAGCGGCGCAAACGCGGTCTTGGAGGCGCATTTGGCGCATGTCGTGAAAGGTGGTCAGCAGTTGCAGGCGAAAGTCGAGGAGACACGAGGGTCGTTTTTGGATGATTTTTGATCGAATTTGTATCCAGGACCTCCCTATGGAGGTCCCAACATGTTCCAACTGCATGAATTTGCGAAGGCGTTAGCACCCAGATCACCCATGGAACAAGAGAATTGGAGGATGCATAAGAAGTCTTGCAGTGTACTTTGACCCCGTCCGATGCCATGCAATTAACCAACTAGCTGATCAAAAGTGAATCACAAGCAATGATGAGCTTGCACCATTTAGGGCTGGGCAGTTTCCTGGATAAGTGACTCCAATAGAGTTCCGGAATAGTCGTGATTCCAAGTGACAGGAACAAGAAGAGATCATTGAGGTTCTCCGGCGCTTATTGCAGGATCACAAGGCACAGCTTGCAACGGCTGAATGGTGGTTTTGAGTCGTCGCCACAAGGGGCTGCGGTGCCAAAGTAGTGCCGACTTTCCCCACGAAGGGCTTACAGTCTAGGATTGCGACAGGGTGAGAGAAAGAGAGAACAGATACAGGTGCTTGATGTTTGGTGCGTATGGTTTGGCAATTTCGTGGTTAGAGAACAGGGTTGAGGTTTCCTACTTAAACTTGTTCATCACGAATGCTCAAAAGTTTAGCAAGGGCCAGTTTGATGGACGCTCGTCCCCACTTTAAGCACTGAGCATGCTGTAAAGTACTATGACCTCGCAGTGTAGCGGAGACACCAGCGCAATCAACCATCAGTTATTTTTATATAACTCTATGGATCAAAGCGTTTTGAACATCACATGATCATATTGGTTATTACATGGTCTCCATCTTCAGCCTGAGGACTTCATCCGCGAGCAGCTGGGCTCCGAGCTCCGCCTCCCAGAGGGCGCCGGCCAGGGCGACGTGGAGGTGGTGACGCGGATGTGAGGCGGTGAGACGCTGGATCCAACACACGCAGGCGGAGCGGTGGATAGATCCGGAGGAATATATACTGGATGGATCGATGGGTCATGACGGTCATGATGGGTCCAAGGGAGTTGAGCCTAATTTTGAACAAAGGGTGGGTCCTGGTGGGTCCTGAGGAGAGAGGAAACAGTGATGGCATGTGATGGCCTGATTAGGTTTGTTTCATTTCCACTTCTAATCCGTGGTTATTTGAGCCATATTCATATTATTCTTCAGTGGGTGAAGGAGGAGCTTGGGCCTTGGGACCAGCGAGCGAAGCAGGCAAAGCAGGCTGATGGAGCTTCGGGCGGCCCGAGCTGACTAGCTGACTGGCCAAAAGAGGCGGGGGAGTTCCTACTAGTAGCTTCTTGTTCCTAGTAGCGATGGCCTCCACCTACTAGCTTCTGTTACTAGCAGTAAGGCCCTGCCGCTTGTTGTGCTGGGTTCTTATTTTGGAAAAGCTGGCTTTGGATTGAGGGAGTCGGAGACATCAAACGAACTATTGGATGGAACAGTCTCATTTCTTGGACCTTCTCATCCGGGTGGATGAGCAAGCAGCATGACTCTTAATTCGTTCGCATTCCAAACACATTGGAACAGACACGCGGGTCCGTATTCCAATAGAGAGACCCCTGGCTGGGTAGACTGGTCTATGTCTATTGTCCCTTAGGGGTTGGAGCTGGGAGGTGTTCCTATTAAACATGCACGCGGCCCGTCCTGTTTGGCCTGTCAGGACGGCTTCTTCGGTCTATTTCGCCGGGACGATGCCCGGCAGGGCGATGCGGTGCGGAGGGAAGGGGTTGGGTGATGCCAATCAAAACCTGTACCTCCAAAACCCTGGTCAGATGTCATTTCGCGTTACCATTCATTCTCAAACTGTATTCATCTAAGTCTATTTGTATCCTCCTTGGAATTTCCTCTACAAAATCATGGGGGTCTGGGTGCGTCAAGCGCCTAAGTTTTGTACAGCGAACATCCCCTTTGTTTAGGGTATGCAGGCCAAGGATGCAATTTTGTAAAGAATTGATCTGAGTTTGGAGGGGTAGGTGAGGTAATTGATTCTGTAGAATCAGAGATGGTTTAGATAAGCCACTTTTCAATCTGGCTTTTGCAAGTAGGGGGTGATGATTATGAAGAGATTTTACCTGAGGGTATTGATTTTGAAAAGACATCGTTTGAGCATTGCTGCACAGACATGCTCAAGCTATCTCAAGCTTATGGAATCAATATCTCAAGCTTAGGAAGAAACATGAAGAAACAATAAGAAACACATATTATCATATATTACATTGCGATGCGGGTATGTTGGGAAAATGATTCTGTACAAAGCATGTTGTTTTGCATGTCAAGGATGCAATTTTGTAAACCTGTTTCTTCTCAGAAATGTGTTCGGGGCTGCCCTGGGTCTCTAGATTTCGTAGTAAGTTTTGATGTGTTTCTCGATATTCATTGTATTGATTCTGTAGTTTTGGTTGGTTAGGGGTTTTGATTTTGTAATGAGGTTTGAGACCAGGACATTGATATTGTAAACAGTTGTTTTCACAATCAATCACCCTGCCACCGACCTATAAGCAGCTGGTTTAGGTACAATGTGAGTGGTCACTTGGATGGGTCCCTGTTTTTTGAAGCAAGAAGGCGCTCTCTCACTGTTCTAAGGCGATTCACTTGGCGAAGATTTGACAAAAAAAAAGAACATGTTTCATTGTTTTGTTGTCACGTCAAGGTGGAGACACACATGGAAGATGGACATCGAGCACGTCGGCCAGGACGGTGAGTGCAGCGCGGCCTTTTTTCCCGTCACTCACTGGGCGTCCAGATGGGCGGAACCGGCACTGAGAATGGATTGGCCAGCAACCCATGACGAAAAAGTGAAAAAGAGACCGGAGGTCAGCAGGGTGAGATCAAATTTTCAAGAGAACGCAGCCCATGTGACGTGAAAACACATGATAAACAAATGCCAAAGCAGTTGGGCCTATCGCCTGCCAGGGCGTAGCAAATTTAATACAGATGATAGGGCCTATGGCTGGGCATTCCTTGTTTTGCCAACAGGTCTTGCAATTCTTTATGGCATTGGCATCCAGACAAGCTCAATGACATGTGCGCTACCTTCGTCGCAGGCATCGTGGTCACGGACGGCGGCTGCTCGGTGGTGGCCGATGCTCAAGGTGCCGCCAAGGCGGTGGAGGCAATGAAGGCGCACCTGGTGGACGTGGAGGTTTGCAAGATGGGTGCGGCTGTACTCTACGCGCCTTGGACGAGTCCAGCTGGAAGATCCAGCTTCACTCCCTATACCCTCCGACTCCGGAGTGTCCCTTGTTCAGGAGGTCGCCAGGTCGCCCCCCCTCCACCCTGAAGAAAGAAAGGATCAACAAGGTTGTCCAGAACATGGTTCATTGCACATCACCAGCTAAGGGCTTTCGGCCACCCTGTTCCGTCCATTTGCCTTGAACCAATTCGATGCCGTTGAATGGAGCCCGAAGCAAGGCCATGGTGCAGAAGACTGATCCGGCCTCGCCGGAGCGGTTGATGATGCGCACCACCAAGGCCCATCAAGTCTTGGTCGAGGCAACCGGGTTGGTACCGGGGGAGAGGGGGAATCCGAACAGGCTGCAGCGGAGCAAGCAAATCTAGGCAGTTATGTTGGTGATGATATGTGATAAGTATATATATATATATGGTGCAGCCCAGCCCAAGAATCAGGAGCATCGAGTCCAGACATAAATCACTCACTGTTGGCACGGAACCCGAGAATGTCATAGAATGTCACTGTATAGGATCGCCCGAAAACGGTCTGTGTACAGTGTAGACTGGCGAAGTCCTAGTCAATTCAAATATACCTCCCATATACCATATATACCTCGCACAGCTATAAGAGTGCTAAGGCATTGGCTGCAGACCTGACAGGCATCCTCCCAACAAATGCCAATGCAGGCACTTCAGCACCACCCGACTGACAGAGTCCTGGACCGCGCGTGTCGCGTGACCATGCCTGAGCTCAAGGGCTGAGAGGGCCCTGCCGAGGGCGAAAAGCTCCGCTCGACGTGCCAGCGCCTTTCGCGCGTGACGGGAAAAACAGATGGTTCAGTGATGTTTGGTGGGACATCCAGGATCATCCACCGGCCATGGTAGATTTCAGTATTCCCTTTCAGGGTCAAGTCATGTCAAGTCACATCTTTGATGTACTTTTGAGCCACCCGAATCTTTGGGCACATCCGGAGAAACTGGGAACCAACAGGGAGCAAGATACTGTACAGATCTGTAATGATTGGTATAGCTTTTGAGGTGTGTGCTTCTCTTCGAGTAATCAAGGAGGATGTGGGGGCATCCATTAAGTGCTTCATCCAGGGTGTTCATCATTTTCATATCCTTTGGGTGGAAAATAGCCTGAATGGAGCATTTTGGTGCTATGGTTGTATATTCTGTTGCTTGGGCCAACTGGCAATATTGGGACTGATGTCCTGGACCTAGCATATCAATCCCCACATCTTTGTTTATCAATGATGACAACTCGGACTCACTAACATGGAAGTGGAGATTCTCTGTTGGTAGATCAAAGTAGCCTTCCAAAGGACCATTGCCCACTTCCATGTGATGTGTTCATCAGAGTTGTGAAAAGAACATCTATACGCCTATCGATGCTAGTAGGTTGGAGGCCATCGAGCTACTAGGTTGGAGGCCATGGCGCTCTTAGGTTGGAATCCATCGCCCTTATATATAGGCCCCTTTTGCTACTAGGAGCAAAGGGCATCGCTTCTAGGAGCAACGACGCTACGAACGGGGCTCCTGGCCTTAGGAGCAAGGACGCTCTTAGGTTCCTTTTGCTATGTTATTTTGGACAGACTTTATGTTTCATGCCTTGCTCGCACACAGCCGCAACGCCAGGAGCACCGCAAGAGCCACGCCCGCAGAGCCACAGCGGTCGGGGGCGCCGAGCCGGCTCTTGCGGTGTGCGGTTCGTTCGGACCGAAGGGGAGCAGACCTTCCGCCTTCCTATGGCAGCCTGACGGTGAATTGCAAATTGGGATGGCCCAGTGGAAGAATTGCGCAGACTCAAGATATTCTATGAAAATTATGAAATGGTTTTGCTGCGGAATGCTGTGGATCTGTTTATATACATCTTTTTAGCCTCCTTCTTCCCCACATGAAAAGAGACAAAAGTTGCAACATTCCCAGGCTGTGCACAATATATTCCAAAGATTCGCCAGGTACAATGTTGAATTGGGAAGTTTGTGGGTAGGCTTGGGAAGTTTGATTCAAGAAATTGCTCATCAGAAAGGTCTAAGTGTGTCTAGGACCACCTGTTTTCCATCCTTTTCCTCACGAGTCTGACTCCGCAGGTGACCGGCACCACGAGACACTCGAAGTGCATCGCCCGCAGCTCCTTTCAACTTCGAGCACAGCGTTTTCAGCCTGGTCGTCTTCCACCGGAAGCTCTCAGTGGACGTTTTTGCTATGGCTCGCTGCGCGTTGTCGGGACTTCTTTTGAGCTCATGTGGCTACCTCGCCCTGGCCCTGAACGATTGCCAGGACGGTACATGCAGCGCACATTTCATTCAGGCGTGGTGGACCATCTTCTTTGAAGACTCCACAGTTGCACCGTGCCTTTTTTCCTCCGTCGGCTAAGGACTCTCAAGCTTCACTTGACCATGCTTGTGACTACTTCGAGTCCAATCACCGGTTCGGTGGGCGAAGTTCCATTAGAAGATCTATTGCAGTCCTCATGAAGAAGAACATCCTAAAGAAAACTCAAATCATTCTGAAGGAAGGTGATGTGATGGGCGAATGTGAACTTACAGTTACACCCAAAAAGACGAGAATATTTGCTAGGGGTGTGAGATCATGGAGAGATCTTGAATGATCTCGTAACTACTTTCTCAAGAACTACATAAAAGATGGAACATGGACACAAACACCGTGTGTTTGTTGTTATTTTTTTTGGTGGGCCCCATCCTTCACAAAATTGAATTCTAATAAAACTCATC